AGTACTTTTACTTCTATAATATGCAATAACAACATTTTAACCTAATTCTATTTTGTCAAGGTAGTGTACTCAGGAAAGGCATAAATTAATTTTAGGGAAAGAACCTAATGAAAGAAGGTAACTTCTGTGAAAAACCGATTAGTTTGAGTTTTCTAATGTAACAAATTTTATTAAAGAACCAAGAAGTATTATACATCAAAGAAAAAGGAAAGATGGCTGCGCTTTGCATCAAATAAATCAATCCAATATACAATCCTATGAATAATAAATGTGCTATTTCAAATACTAGAAGTGAATATTATGCATAAAATATTAACAGCAAATGTCCATACATAAATTGTGAATATCTTTCTTGAGATTTTGCATATAATATATCACTGCTTTCCACTTCTTGTGATACTTCACATCTACTACACTCCACACCAAACATACATAGTGATGCCCTCCACCATTCACCACTGTGCTCACCTCCAAGATTGGACCCATATTGTTACAGGTTCTCAACAGCTTTTTCCCCATGTTTAGGACTCCTTCCAATGCCTCTTCGGGTTGATGCAGACTTTTCAGATGCATGTACTCAAGAGATGTTTAAACATACGGCTCAGTATAATACACCAAGTAAGTGACGGTCTGGCCCTTTTAAATTCACGATCCTTTCTGGTTTTGTATTATATGCTCGCATGAAGCAAAAAAAGGGTATTCATAGTGTAATGTGTACAACATAAAATATATTGTTTATTATTAAAAACGCATTTACCAGTGAAGTAAAACACTGGCTCTCATATAAGACAACGGGGAGCAGTATATTCCACAACCCATGGAACTGCCTTACCGTATATTGGATTGAAAAGACATGCATTGTATTTTGCTTAAAATCCAAAGGCTACCCACTGTGCTGTATGTGAGAAAAATGAACTGCAACACATTATCTGTGCCGCCTCCACACTTCTCAATTTGCCAGCAGAATCTGTTATATCACATTCACATTCAGCTTTCAATCCTGCTCCTGCCATTCTTAAATGTTCCCTTTACATTATTGCTGTTGTTTTGATACATTATATATGTTGTTTTGCATCAATTAGATTCAGTCTATTTCAGTGTTGCAAAGGAGCTGCCACTCCTCCAGCACTATGTGCTTGTCCTTTTTTCCTCCTGTCAATTGGATACATTGTTTTTAAAACTCCTTATGCTCAGTTGTTTTAAGAAATTGAAGACATAGAACTCGCGGCGGATGGTTCAGTTTTGACCATCGCTTTAAAGTCATCTTTATAGTTCGGGACTCCTTGCTTTTAAATCGACAATGTTTGTAATATTTTAATGGTGGATGGGTGGAGGATGTTTGTATATATATATATATATTTACACACACACACACACACATACAGTATGGCCGAGAATATTGGCACTTATATTTTTAAAATATACACACATACATATACACACACACATCTATATGTTATTCATTTTGTATGTGGAACCACATATTTATATAATATGACATTACACACAACACCACTGGACACACAGTTTGGCACATACTTGAATATGCATATATATAATATTATATATATATATATATCTGTGTGAATGTTTTATTGGTGCTCAGGTGTGTTCATTTAGGAATGATGTCCAAACAGCAATTTTTTTGTGTGTTTGTTGGGGGTTGGGGGTGTTTGGGTGTTTTTGGTTGGTTTTTTTTGTGATTATATATTTCACATATATATATTTATATTTTACCATTTTATATATAGGCGCATATGTGTGTTTTATATTTTACACACATCACACTGCAATTTTTTTTGTATATTTTTTGGTTTGTGTGAATATGTTGTCTTTATATGGGTTACACTTTTTGGGTTTTTATACACACATACAGGGACTATGTATTATAGCATAACATTGTTAATGTGTGAGTGTGATATTTATTATATTATCTTATCATGTGGTGTGTGTGTGTGTATTTATTTATATATATATTATACACACAACACACCACAATATATCAATATCTATAAATATTTGTATATATGATTACAACTAATTTGATTATTTTGTTATATAGCTTATTTACACACACACACACACACACACACATATACACACACACAAATATATACTATATATTTACTAACACTACACACATTACACATAATAATATATATATATTATATATATTTTTATATGTATAATATACACAACAAAATCACACACACACAGTATATTTTATGTGTGTGTGGTACACAAACCCACCAATCCATAAAATGTGTGTGTATATATAAATATTAAACAACCACACACACATATATATACATATCTTACTATACATAATACATACATATATAACCAATATATTATATGTATTACAAATAACAACACCTCACAACATATATGTGTAGTTATATATATTATATATAATATATATATATAGTATATATATATAACGACTACATGTTTTTATATATATACATATATACACAATACATCACACATTATATATATATATAAATTATACTACACACACAAACACACAACACACACATATATATACACACACATATATATAATATTATATATATAGATACCATATAACAACACACACAACATCACATATAGTTTATATATATATATTATATACCATATAGTTTTAATATGTATGTATATATACACACATGCACACATACATATTCATACTACCAACACTACATTTTTTTATTTTAAGTTTTTTTTGTATGGTGAAGTTTCAAAGATTTTTGTCTTATATTAGTTCATGGTTCTTTAATAAGATTGGTTACATTAGTCAAACTGTAATCGGTTCACAGAAGTTACCTTCTTTCATTAGGGTTCTTCTTTTCCCTAAAATTAATTTATGTCTCTATGCCTTGGGTTTCGTCCTTGATCCACTTTCCTTATGTGGCGTAATAATGGACTTGAAAAACTTTGCTCCATTTTTTATTTTTTAGGGTTTCTGCTGTAATTACAATATTACCTTAATTTTTTTTTATTATCAGACAGGCACTTAGCAGCAAAGTAGCTAAATATTGCAGTCTAGTGATGTGGACACTTCCCCATTGGTGGGGTCCATAAAACATTTTATAGAGTCCTGTAAAACTTCAGTGGCATGAGACATCATGATGAGGGGCAGCAACAAGAATAAGTTCTATGGGAGGTCTGAACTTCATACTGGCAGATGTCTTCTGGAAATGTCACCGTATAGAAGGGTGGTAACTGATGATACTCTCTGGTAAGTACAAAAAGGATGACTGTTATGGCAAACCGATTCCTCTCTTTAACCTCTCTTTGAGGTTCACTGGGAGGGCATTGTCACTCAGGAACACTCGCCAGTCCCTCATTTTTTAGGTGGGATGCCAGAGAAAACAGAAGGGGGAGATTTTACTAATAACTGGAGCGCTCAGAAATTGATGAAGCAAATGCATGGTAGCCAATCAGCATCTAACTTCAGCTAGTTCAATTACATTTTGGCAATAAAATCTGGACGCTAATTGGTTTTTGTGCAGAGCTGCATCATTTTTTGCACTCTCCAGTTTTAGTAAATAACCCCCAAGGTTTCTTTTTCCTTTGATTGACATTCTTCACTTAAGCACAGAATTAAAACCATTCTATCATTTTCAGCCAAGGAAGTTGCCATCTTGACCTCTGTTTGATCTTCAACTGTACCATGGTGCTGCATATTGTGGTCAGTTATGACACCCAGCCATTTGATGGTATGACAGTTTGGCTGAGAACACAATCAATGTGAAAGTTACATTCCTGGCACATGCTATTGTCTACTGACAGATCTGAATATTGAGTTCCTACCATCCAAGATGACGTCTGAGCAGACAGAACGGGGAGTCTGACACTGCATCAGAGGCGCATGCTCCTCACTTTTCCTTGATTTAAGGTCTTCGTTGTCTGGTGTCTTGATTTGGCTGCACCATATGCAGCTCTTGCCTTTTTTTCCTCTGCTTCTGTTCCAGCAGAACCCTCTAGAGAGGGAAGAAGTGGAGAAAAGAAGACTATCAATGAGATAGCAATGGGTCCTAACAGGAGTAGATTCATGTGGAAACTCGCATGTCATAAAATAATGCTTGTAATAAAACTTCGAAATCATGAAAGTTTCTGCCAAAAATATATAATTTTTTTATAAAGGAAAATAAGCTACAAAATACCAAGAAATAGAAAATAAATTAAAAGTATCAATGCACAAATGTAACATATTCCTTACATAGTAGTATCAAAGCATCATATGATCAGCTCACCCTCCATGGAAGTAACATGCCAGTTTATTTACCTTACATGTCAGCAAAGCCTTTGTTTTTGCCATCTGACCTACTGGTTATGCAGTTTTAAGCTGTCGCAGTCTGCCATTTTCATCATCAAGGATACTGCATTAAAATAAATAACACAACATCTGCAATCATATCACTGGGTTTTTAAAGGAAAGGAGAACTCACTCTGTTTTTCTTACCCGCTTACTGGTAACACGAGCTAAGGAAACAACTAGGCGGTTTTGAGCAACTGGGTCAGTGGTGACACGTGAATGCCAAATGACTGTAGACAGACTGTGAGAGTGATACAGAAGTTCCTCAGAAGGAAGAAACACTTGTAGAATGGATTACGAATACAGTACAGTAAGGATGAATAGGACACATGCAGTAAGGTGTATTAGTGCAGGATATGTGTTGAGTAGGCAAGTGTGAGTTTTGTGTATGTAAGGGTGATAGGTGGCTGAGTATTGAAAGATGGTAAAAACCAAAGGAAGGTAAAAAAAAAAGGATTACTCATTTCTGTACTTAGCGCTCCTGCACCACCTAAACCCTATGTGGGTCTATTCTTGCACCCCCCCAACCCTGTGTGTCTACTACTTTTGCACCTCCTGCACCCAAAGCTCTTTTCCACACTTCTCCTTTAGCCAGCACTAAGATACCCACGTATCCTACTCGCGTATCCTGAATCCCCTAGACCAGGGGTGGGCAACTGTGGCCCTCCAGCTGTTGTAGAACTACAAGTCCATGAGGCATTGCAAAACTGACAGTTACAAGCATGACTCCCAAAGGCAGAGGCATGATGGGACTTATAGTTCACCAACAGCTGGAGGGTCACAGTTGCCCACACCTGCCCTAAACTGACTCTTTCTGAAACCTCAGAACTCCATGTTCCTGTAGGCACTCCTCCAGTACCTCCTCCCCTCCTGTACCTCCTATACAAAGTGCTCCCACACTCACCTTACCCTTTCTTCCTCCATACTAGTGCTTCTGTACCGACTGCACCCAGTATTCTTGTACTTCCTATACCCCCTTAGATCCATTACTTCTGTAGCCCCCATACTGAGTGCTCCTGTATCCCTTTGTACCCATGATCTTGTAACCCCATACCAAGTGTTCATGTGCTTCCTATACCCAGTGCTGCTACATCTATTTACCACTTCTTCCTCTGTATCCAATGTTTCTATATCTCTAACACCTAGTGCACCTGTGCGCAGTGTTTTCTATATCTCCTACACATAGTGCTCCTGTACCCAGTGCTTCTATATATCCTACACCTAGTGCACCTGTGCCCGGTTTCTTCTCTACACTGTGCTCTACCCCATGCTTCTATACACTAGTGCTCCTGTACCCAGTGCTTCTATATCTCCTACACCTAGTGCTCCTGTACCCAGTGCTTCTATATCTCCTACACCCTGTGCTCCTGTACCCAGTGCTTCTATATCCTACACCCTAGTGCTCCTGTACCCAGTGCTTCTATATCTCCTACACACTGTGCTCCTGTACCCAGTGCTTCTATATCTCCTACACCTAGTGCTCCTGTACCCAGTGTTTCTATATCACCTACACCTAGTGCTCCTCTACCCATCTCCTGCTTCTATATCTCCTACACCCTGTGCTCCTGTACCCAGTGTTTCTATATCTCCTACACCTAGTGCTCCTGTACCCAGTGCTTCTATATCTCCTACACCTGTGCTCCTGTACCCAGTGCTTCTATATCTCCTACACCCTGTGCTCCTGTACCCAGTGCTTCTATATCTCCTACACACCTGTACCCAGTGCTCCTGTATCCACTGCTTCTATATCTCCTACACCTAGTGCTCCCGTATCCACTGCTTCTATATCTCCTACACCTAGTGCTCCCGTGCTTCTATATCTCCTACACACTGTGCTCCTGTATCCACTGCTTCTATATCTCCTACACCTAATGCTCCTGTACCCAGTGTTTCTATATCTCCTACACCTAGTGCTCCTGTACCCAGTGCTTCTATATCTCCTACACCTGTGCTCCTGTACCAGTGCTTCTATATCTCCTACACCTAGTGCTCCTGTACCCAGTGCTTCTATATCTCATACACCTAGTGCTCCTGTACCCAGTGCTTCTATATCTCCTACACCCTGTGCTCCTGAACCCACTGCTTCTATATCTCCTACACCTAGTGCACCTGTGCCCAGTGCTTCTATATCTCCTACACCTAGTGCTCCCGTGCCCAGTGCTTCTATATCTCCTACAACCTAGTGCTCCTGTACTCAGTGTTTCTATATCTCCTACACCTAGTGCACCTGTCCCCAGTGCTTCTATATCTCCTACACCTAGTGCTCCCGTATCCACTAGTGCTCCCCCCTGTACCCCTGTGCTTCTATATATCTCCTACACCTAGTGCTCCCGTACCCAGTGTTTCTATATCTCCTACACCCTCCTGTCCCCAGTGCTCCTGCACCCAGTGCTTCTGCTTATATTCTCCTACACCCTGTGCTCCTGTACCCACTGCTTCTATATCTCCTACACCTAGAGCTCCTGCACCCAGTGCTTCTATATCTCCTACAGCCAGTGCTCCTGTATCCCCTGCTTGCCTCTCTCCCCTCCTACACCTAGTGCTCCCACCCAGTGCTTCTATATCTCCTACACCTTGTGCTCCTGTACCCAGTGCTTCTATATCTCCTACACCCTGTGCTCCTGTACCCAGTGCTTCTATATCTCCTACGCCCTGTGCTCCTGTACCCAGTGCTTCTATATCTCCTACGCCCTAGTGCTCCTGTACCCACTGCTTCTATATTTCTCCTACACCTAGTGCTCCTGTACCCAGTGCTTCTATATCTCCCACACCTACTGCTGCTGCTGTACTCAACTCCCATGTACTTCCTGTATTTAGTGTTCCTGTACTTCCTATACCTATTGCTCCTGAAAACCCTGTACACAGTGTTTCTATACCCCTGGACCCAGTGTATGAGAGTACTTCCTACACCCAGTGTTCCCACACCCACAATGCCAACTCTTTCTCCTTGATCTCTAAACACCCCTACACCTAGTGCCCCTGTACCTCCTTATACCCAGTGCTCCTTTACCTCCTTATATGAGGGTTGCCATCTCATACCCTTTAAACCCGAACACATAATTACACAGGTTCTGTGGCTGATTAAGGTGGTAATTAAACTCACTTAGTGCCTTATGTGCATCTAAATTAGCCCCAGAACCTGTGTACCAGTGTTTGGATTTAAAGGGATGAGGTAGCAACCCTACTTTATACCCAGTGTCCTTGTCCTGTACCCCCTTATACCCAGTGCCCTTGCTCCTGTAACCCCTTATACCCAGTGCCCTTGTCCTGTACCCCCTTATATACCCAGTGCCCTTGTCCTGTAACCCCTTATACCCAGTGCCCTTGTCCTGTAACCCCTTATACCCTGTATGCCCTTGTCCTGTACCCCCTTATACCCAGTGCCCTTGTCCTGTAACCCCTTATACCCAGTGCCCTTGTCCAGTGTATGAGAGTACCCACCCTTATACCCCAGTGTCCTTGTCCTGTAACCCCTTATACCCAGTGTCCTTGTACCTGTACCCCCTTATACCCAGTGCCCTTGTCCTGTACCCCCTTATACCCAGTGCCCTTGTCCTGTAACCCCTTATACCCAGTGCCCTTGTCCTGTAACCCCTTATAGCCCCCAGTGCCCTTGTCCTGTAACCCCTTATACCCAGTGCCCTTGGTCCTGTACCCCCTTATACCCAGTGCCCTTGTCCTGTACCCCCTTATACCCAGTGCCCTTGTCCTGTAACCCCTTATACCCCGTGCCCTTGTCCTGCACCCCCTTATACCCAGTGCCCTTGTCCTGTACCCCCTTATACCCAGTGTCCCTTGTCCTGTACCCCCTGTCCCAGTCCTGTACCCCCTTATACCCCGTGTCCCTGTCCTGTATCTCTTATACCCCGTGTCCCTGTCCTGCACCCCCTTATACCCCGTGTCCCTGTCCTGTACCCCTTATACCCCCGTGTCCCTGTCCTGCACCCCCTTATACCCCGTGTCCCTGTCCTGTACCCTCAAATACCCCGTGTCCCTGTTCTGTACCCCCAAATACCTCGTGTCCCTGTTCTGTACCCTCTTAAACCCCGTGTCCCTGTATTGTACCTCCATATACACCATGTCCCGTCCTGTACCCTCTTATACCCCGTGCACCCTCCTCCTGTACCTCCTCTTTTGCCCAATGTTTCCTGTACCCCACCCCATACCCGATCCCGGGGCTCCCGTCTGCACTGGGCTCCATCCTTGCACTCCGCGATCAGACTCAGGTCTCTTAGCAACCAGACAGACAACGGCACCCACCAGTGTCCCACTCTCCAATTGGCGGCCACTGTAGCAGGGTCAGGCGCTATTGGCTGTGGCAGTGAGTCAGCGTCCTGGAGGCGGAGCCAGCCCTTAGAAATGAGGGGCGGTGGGAGCCGGTGTAGGAGAGAATCTTCTCTCTCCCCTGTGTGCCCACTGAGTATGCGCAGGATCAGCGATTTCCAATGCAGTGATCGTGACGTGGCTGGGGAAGGAGCGGAGCACACAGCAATTAACTAATAACCTGCCGGACACCTATACTGACCGTTATTTGTACATAGATGTCATACCGTACTTCCCTGTACTGCTGGATCTTCAGATTCCACCTTGTGTACTGTACAAGCAGATCGGATGTCTCATCATTCCACCTACCTGCCCTGTATCAGTCACCGGCTACCCCGACTACTGACCCCCCCATCACCCACCTACCCCCAACCACTGCCCCGCCCATCACCCACCTACCACTGACCCCCCCCATCACTCACCCACCCCCGACTACTGCCCCACTATCACTCACTTAACCCCGACCACTGACCCCCCATTTCACTCACCCACCCCCGACTACTGCCCCCCCCCCATCATTCACCTAACCCCGACCACTGACCCCCCCATCACCCACCTACCCCTGACCTCTGATCCCCCCATCACTCACCTACCCAGACTACTGCTATCCCCATCACCCACCTACCCAGGGGCAGACTGACAACTTATGGAGCCCCCCGTGCTATAGGGAATCATGGGGCCCCTGTGTCCTTGCCCAAACTCAAAAAAGCCTATGAAAAAGGTACCAGGGGCATCTCATGGGGCCCCCTACTGACACCGGGCCCTCGGGCAGTGCCTGAGTTTCCAAATGGTCAGTCCGCCCCTGGACCTTTCCCCAACCACTGCCCCCCCCCCCATTACCCACCTACCCCCGACCACTGACCCCCCCATCACTCACCTACCCTGACTACTGCCCCCCCATCACTCACCTACCCCCAACTACTGCCCTACCATCACTCACCTACCCCCGACCACTGATCCCTCTCATCACTCACCTACCCCGACTACTGACCCCCCATCACCCACATACCCCGACTACTAACCCCCCATCACCCAAATACCCCCGACTACTGACCCCCCCATCACTCACCTATCCCCGACTACGGCCCCCCATCACTCACCACCGACTACTGCCCCCCCATCACGCACATACCCCCGACCTCTGATCCCCCCCATCACTCACCTACCCCGACTACTGACCCCCCATCACCCACATACCCCCGACTACTGACCCCCCCATCACCCACATACCCTCGACTACTGACCCCCCCCCATCACTCACCTCCCCATGACTACTTCCCCCCATCCCCCACCTACCCCCGACTACTGCCCCCCATCACCCACCTACCCCCAACTACTGACCCCCACATCACCCACATACCCCCGACTACTGACCCCCCCTTCACTTACCTCCCCGCGACTACTGCCCCCCCATCACTTACCTCCCCGTGACTACTGCCCCCCCATCATCCACCTACCCCCGACTACTGCCCCCCATCACCCACCTATCCCCAACCGCTGACCCCCCCCATCACCCACCTACCCCCGACCACTGACCCCCCCATCACCCACCTACCCCCGACCACTGACCCCCCCATCACTCACGTACCCCGACTACTGACCCTCCCATCACCCACCTACCCCGACTACTGACCCCCCCATCATACCTACCCCTGACTACTGACCCCCCCATCACCCACCTACTGCCAACAACTGACCCCCCCATCACTCACCTAGCCCCGACTACTGACCCCCACTTCACCCACCTACCCCCGACTACTGACCACCATCACCCACCTACTGCTGACTACTGACCCCCCCATCACCTACCTACCCCGACTACTGACCCCCCTATCGCCCACCTACCCCGACTACTGACCCCCCATCACTCACCTACCGCCAACCACTGACCCCCCCATCACCCACCTACCCACAACTACTGATCCCCCATCACCTACCCCTGACCCCCCCATAGCACACCTAACTCCAACTACTGAGAAAAACATTGAACTGCGATTTCCATTTTTTGACCAATCTAGCAATGCCAAATCATGTTCCATGTTACATACATCTCCAGGGATATCAACCCTACTGCACACCTTTGTGTCATCAGAAAAAAGACATACCTTACCCAACAAACCTTTATTTATGTCACTTATATAAAGATTAAATAGAACAGGACCTAGTACAGAGCCTTGGGGTACACCACTAGTGACTGCTCTCTTTTCAGAGAGAATCACATTTACCTATCTATCACAACGCTCCTTCAGCGTTACCTATAACACTGCCACCTCCCCCTCACTCCCCCTCTCTGTTGGGGTCCCCCAAGGTTCTGTCCTCGGGCCCCTCCTCTTCTCCATCCACAACTCTTCCCCCTTGGTCAACTGATACACTCCTAGGGCTTCAACTACCACCTCTATGCCGATAACACTCAAATCTATCTCTCTACCCCTCACCTCACCCCTTTAAACTCCACCCGAATCACTAGCCTTCTGAACGACATATCAGACTGGATGTCACTCCACTTCCTAAAATTAAACCTTTCCAAAACCGAGCTCCTAGTTTTCCCCCTAGCCCGCCCCCCCCCCCGACCTCTCCATCACGAACAACAATGCCGCCATCAGCCCCATCCTGCAAGCCAGAGTACTAGGTGTCATTCTAGACTCCAATCTGTCTTTCCAGCCCCCGATCCAATCGCTGGCAAATTCATGCAGACTCCACCTCCGCAACATCTCCAAAATACGTATGTTCCTAACCCCCGAAACTACAACGCAACTCATTCACTCCCTTATCATATCACGACTTGACTACTGTAACTCCCACCTCGTCGGCCTACCTCACCGCAGGCTATCCCTGCTTCAGTCTATCCTGAATACTGCGGCCAGACTCATCCACCTTACTAACCGCTCCGTATCCGCCACCCCCCTCTACCAATCCCCCACTGGCTACCGATTGCCCAACACATAAAATTCAAAATACTAACATTGACGTACAAAGCTGTTCATAACACTGCCCCAAACTACATAACCGACCTGATATCCATCTACCACCCGAAAAGCACTCTCCGCTCCTCACAAGACCTCCTATTCTCCAACTCCTTGGTCTCCTCCTCCCATGCCCGTCTCCAGGACTTCTCCAGGGCTTCCCCCATCCTCTGGAACTCACTAACCTAATCCATCAGACTGTCACCTACCCTCCTCACCTTTAGGCTCACCCTGAAACCCCATCTCTTCAGAGAAGCCTACCCTGCCCTCACCTAACTGCTGATCTCCTCCGCTCTCCCCACCACTCCATCCCCCCCCACAGCTATTTCCTCCTGTACCACTCTCCCCTCCCTCCTAGATTGTAAGCTCCAAGGAGCAGGTCCCTTGAACCCCCTGTGTATTGTATTGTCACTGTACTGTCTCATGTATTGTC